TGAGCTGCAATAAAGCGCTTTATAAGATATTTACTTTTGCAATTCATGGGCGTTTTCCGACTGTTGTGCGTCTCGCAGTTAATTGGGAGAATGGCTAAAGAATGTATTTCAATCCAGAGAACACAGTACAGCCAGTGGAAATACCTCCAGCAACAAAATTAGCATTTTCGAACAAAAATCGCATTGCCCGAAATGGATCAACTCCGGTGGTTTGATATCAATTCCATCCCCCGATTATCAATTCACGAAAAAGGAACTTATCACGAATATTCGGATATTGCCAAATTATCGTAACTACGATTCTTTAAGTGCACGCGCAATGTTAGCTGCCAGAAATACCGATGTTGTTGACTTAACTAGAAGATGCAAAGTCAAATTCCGGGAGATTTGCGCTCATAACATCGTCTTGACAATGAAGACGACGCGACGTGTATTAGCTAGTGGAATTTGGATCTGTCGTTATTATGTTTCGCAATCTGCATGCGCTGAAATTGTGTAATGGAACCTGACTGAATGTGATGCACCTGTCGAATACAAGGGGGCAGAATGCTTGACTCTATTCCTCGAATTCCTTTGAGTTCTATTAATTTTCAATTTCAGTTCAAACGTATTCCATTTTCAGTGTAAATTGCATTTGAGATGACAATAAACAGGACACAAGGATAGTCGCACAGTGTGTAGGATAAATTTCCAAATGCTATGTTTTTCACACGACCTGAGATACCTGGGATGCTCAATTGTTGGAGAACCATCTTTTCTGTACACCGGAGCAGAAACCAAGCTGTGTTATATTGAAAAAAAAGAAACAATAAATTTCTTTCATTTCAACACACAAAATTTCACGCAGGACAACGGCTGTGGGGTCAGCTGGTTGTAAATTTAAATAAAGAGAATATGTACTATTGTGATCAAATTGAAAGGTAAATTTTTAAATATTACTTCGCGTTTTAAAATTTTAATTTTATCTTTAAGTTGGTAATATTGACATCTGTGATAAATTTCACGTCAAAATATTCATTAGTATTTGAGATACGCGTCGTTTTGTGACATCTTTGAAAAAAATATTTAAAATAGTTGTATTGTGAACTATTTTTTCGAGTTTACAAGTTCTCTGGAAAAAAGAAAAAATTGAGAGTAGAATGAAACTCATCGCAGGGTAGGTAAAAAACAAAAATAAAAGAAAAGTAGTATATGGGCGATCTGAGGTCTGGAAAAGGAAGGGAAGAATGGTTCATCTTGATTGCTAAAATTGTTTACTTCTAAGTAATTAACCTTTGAAAAATAGCGAAGAAAGTGAGTAAAGAAAATTATACCTCAAAATAAGACCTATATATTCAAGAAATATAAGAATGTTTATCTTTACTTCCTTATCTGAACTTCCGCAAACCTAAATTACGAGTATTAAAAGCTCACCGCATAAAAATAAATCCGTCAGCGTTTTAGCGTAACCCCTTGCATATATTACAGTTTATTATCTCAATTAATAGCGCCGAAAAGACAGTCGGAAACACTTACAAATTGCTTGCTCCAACCGAAAAAGTAATATTATAATTCATAAAAAGGAAATAATTGAAGGCTTTTACTCCCTTCTAAGTGCCGTGCAAATAATACTATTTAGCTCGGTAAAAGCTAAATAGCTTAATATTTAGTCGCACCACCTGCGAGTGTTTGGCGAACGGCAGCAAATATTTACACATACACAGAGTTTTGCTTGAGGCTTGAAGGATTTGGGTGCACGTGTTGGTTACACGCTTATCATAAATTCAATATTTTATATTGCTCTAGGCTAAGAATAATCCAAGGGGGCACAAAGCTGTTTTCGTATGCAAAACAAGGTCGATAACAGAATGGCAAATGCCTGGCATTAAACGTGCATTTTCTCTAGTGTAAGTGGTGGCACGGGGAGGTGCTGTAGAAAAATCTATGAAAGCAAAATGTGAGTGAAATCGTAAATAATCCTTTACATCTGCAAAGAAGGCCAGCACAAGTAAGCACTTTCTCAGGTAACAGTGCCGTGACTGAAGAAGGCACTTAGAAAAACATCGCAGCTTAAGAGTGGCAGTAAAATAATAGTACTGCCATAGTTTACGCCTTTCGTGAAAATTCATAAATTTTACGGAAAATTGTATTTTTATTAACAGAATATGTTATACTTGTATATGCTGCACTCTCTTTTAATATACAGTTTTTTTTGCGGTACTTCTCTTTTAAGGAACGTTTTATTTGTATATTATCATTACAAACCAAATTAATGAAAGTAAGATAGACTAAAAGGTGAACACGTATCTATACGTATATATATATACATTTTGTAAATGTTGTGCGAGATATTCCACCAAAAGTTGCTCAAACCCTCATTAAATTAATTAATTGTTTGTATAGTATTATTGTTATTCTTGTCATATATTCATTTGGATACTCATCCAAAGTTCTTTTTGTAAAAATATTAGTTATTTTACCCTATATTTGTCGTAGATAGTTAAAATCATATTTAAATATTATATAATAGTTGAAAGTCATCTTTAACTAAGCTATTCAGTTTTTATTATGAGTTTTATATTTTTAACACACAGTGGCAAAGTTTTTATGGAATATTTGCTGAGCACCCAGCTGAAAGCTAACCACAACAATATAACATATATGTACCATAATTSCTGAAATACCCATAGCTTAAGGAAGTATTTAATACTTGGTACCATGTGTTGTAAAATTATGATGGTAATGAAACTTTGCAGGTTTCAGACCACTATAAACAGAATTGAAAATATACAAACCTTTAAAGACAAAGAGTTTTAATTCACCAAATAAATAAATTCACTCGTTTATTCGGCAGAGTTATCTCACTCTCGCGTAGTCATTGGTACAAAAATTATTCAAATGTAACAATGTATATTTATAATATAAAGCAAAAACTATAGGGCTTTCCAATAAGGGTGATATGATTTCTTAAAAATAAAATAGAAATAAAAACACACAGTAATTGCTAAGGAAATGCATATGTTTTCTTATGTAGTGTGAAGAACAATAAGGTTCTGAATGTAACATCATTCAATCCTTTTGCAAGAAAAAATTCGATGAACGCTTCTAAATGATGGCTTCCAAAGCTTAAAAAGAGTCTGGTTTATTGATAAATACCAATGATTTTAAATAACYCCTCAAGAGTTAGGAGGCCATTCAATGTTACAATGTCTACACTTTTTTCGCAATAATTCGGTTGTTGGAACCAGATATTGTGAAGATCAACATCTTCTGATTACTACCGCACACCATTGACAGTGACGGTGTCATTATCATTTTCAAATGGTTCCAAGGCAAAATCAGCAAACTCACGAAGTCTTTCGTGGTCCAATTGCTTCAGTTCTTCAGTGAGAACACATTTGTATGGCTGCAAGTCCAATTCTTTTCTTAAAATCCGCCAGGTTGTAGTTTGAGACAGTCCCAATTCTTGAAACCGTCTTTTAATCGACAAATTCGGCCTTCAGCAACACTTCAGGCAGATATATTTGCACTACTATGAGTTGTTCAATGTCTCATAGACGAGCATCGAGCACACGTAAACGATTACTAGGACCATAAAATTATTAGGACCATGAAATGACAAAAGGGCTTGATAAGTTGCAACTGGAGAACGATTATTTTGTTAAGAAATTTAATAATTTGTAAGCATTCTTGTTGCGTATATCCTTCCTTGATGAGTTTTTAAACATAACTATGTAAGCATATAATGGAAAAAAGTTACAGATCATGATATAATTATCAATATTAAAAATGACCGACATGACACTTAGAAATCATGTTATCCCTATTAGAAAACCCGGTATTCATTTAATCAATTAAAATACGTAAATGGGTACAGGAGGTTCTTAAGGAATAGTATTGATATATTCCGTTAAGTTCATTGTAAAATAATTTTTCAAATATTACATTTTTGCTTGCTAAAAATTTATTAATTGTCTATATTTGTCTCTTCTTACTTATTTAAAAGTTTTAAMGGTTTTATTTTGTCCCTGTCTAGAAAAATATCATAAGAGTTGTTTCTTATGTATATAGTTATTTTCATATCAATAACTGATAGTCCTCCGTAGATCCAATATTTTTAGCTCAAAACAGCCACGAATATATAACAGTCATTTGTTAACATTTATTAAAAGAAAAATAACTAAAAAAATAAATCCTTATTCTATTCTGGTACTCAAAAGACAAAGTCTAAAACTAAGGAAATTTTTGGCAAACACTTACTTTGAATTTAATGCTGTATATTTTCACTAATTGCTGCCGCACGTCACGCCCCGCGCATACACGAAAAGACGCACAGCAATAACACTCAATAAGCCGTTTCCGTGTGCTACTCACACGGTATAATCGTGCCAACCCACGTACGTAAATGGCAAGTACTAAACTCGTGGCACGCACTTGATTCTAACTAAACACGTACACACACGCACACACACAACCGCAAACGCAAAGCGACAATAATCAGCAATTCGAAGCAACAATTCATAAACGAGCACACGATAACCGCATACGCAGGCACTACGATAGTAGTAGCTAGAGCAGTTAGACGAGTTAGCTAGCTGACTGACTGGCTAGCAAACTAACTACGCGGAAGGAGTGTTTGTGGTGCGGTTTTAAGCCGCTATCGCTGCCGCCACAGACGCCATCAACAAAGCCAACGTGCACGACGTACGCGCATCAACCGCAATTGGAACGACCGTCAGCGTTAACGTCAACGCTATCTCCGCTGCAGTTGGCTTAGCCGGAGCTGCCGCCGCCATTACTACAAAGCAATAACAAATTATTTGTTGTCACGCACTTAGCTTTACGAGCGTTGTTTTTGCTATATTTGCCTTCACTATTTTCATTCATAATTTATACGTTTAAATCTGTTGGGCCGGCACTTTTCTAACGGCTAAGTGAATAAGACCAGACTGGCCACCTTATTGCTGCAGGTAAACAAGTACTATTTGCTTATATGCACCAGAAACATACTTTTGCACTCTTTCACACAAAATATTCGCATTCGTACAAAGGTAATTTCGGATGCCACAAACGTACACAAAAGAAATTTCACATTACTGAAACTTTTGAGAATTTACTTTTATCCGCGTTTACTTTCTTCGTTGAATGAAGATTTATGTTTTTACATCAAGCGACCAAACAACCATCCCAGCGACAGTGGGATGTAATAAAATTATTACACTTCGCTCCGCAGCCTTAAACGGTACCCTTTATTCGTTATTCGCCTCTGTCTTATAAATGTCCTCGTTGGCATTTATCGTATTCGCGTTTGCTTAGTATATACCGTCACTTCATGTAAACCGTAAACTTAACCGCACAGGACTGACTGCTGTAATCAACTAAAAGCTTTGCTCTCCATTCGTAAAATTTTACCTGTGACTGTCTACCACACACACAACGAATCGATCCGAATACAAATGAGCACAAGACTCGTGCACAACGAACGATACAGTTTGATTATAAAACGCGTTCAGTTAACATCGGCTGCGCTTCGAAACAACGTATTTCGGCATTCGTGTCTCCTCATATACTWGTGCACATATGTAATAGCTTTCATTTTCTCTCTGTTTCAAAGCTTCTGTGTCCTTCGCTAAACTCTAATCCAAATATGAGCCACTGCGTCTTTTGTCTGTAAATCGCTTTCGTTTTAAATGCAGCGAACCTGAAGAAGCTGCTTTAAGAAAAGTTCACAATTTGCTTTCATCGTGAGAGCGCTGAGAAAATATTCCAGTGAAAGGTGAATTTTTGTCGGGCCAGGATTTCCAAATGAAAACTAACATAGCCTTAACAGTTTACCCAACATTTGAAACTWTAATAACAGCGCTTGAGTTTTGTACAATATTATAGGGAAATTTATACATGAAAGGAAATTTTGCTGCTTCTATATAAATACATTAATTATGGTGACTGTTAAATGAGAGAGGGTTTCCTGATATAWATATTGCATGAGTAAAGAAACGCTTTTGGGGTTAAGATATATGTATATGCATTAATATGCCAAAAATTTAAAAAGTCCTCTAGACTAGATCTGAGTTTTCTAATAAAAAATATACAATTTTTTGAAGTTACTTTACTCTTGAGCCTAATACTGCGCAATAAATACGTAGTATTCCGGAACGTTATGGGATTAAGTGTGGTTCTATTAATCTATTCGAAACTATAATTACTTTGAAAATTTAAAAACTAAGGACTTTTACTGTTATTTTTGACGTAGACGTGGTTGTTAGTAATTTTCGCAATGACTAATGCAATGAATATTAGGTAATCTCATATAAAAAATTCGGTAGAACTCGGTCAAGTAATTCCTGAGGCATAGGATTTCATGGACAACTGTTTCAGTAAAGCCCTTTCTTGCCAGCATGATTATTAACTTTAATTCTTATGCATGACAGTGATTTATTGCTCCACTAATTTCAAGATAACCGTTAAATAGAGAGAGGACGTGTTTGTTATTTTATCCATTTTCACAGTGTTTGAAGAAGCGCTAAAATTACTTTTTTCAACAAGCTTAACACAGAATATATGTAGATATTTTAATTTTTAGTAAAGTTATCACTTGTACGACAGACGGGCGAACAGACAATTAATCTGGGTTCGGCTTGTCTCGTCATCCTGATCATTTACACATACATATAAAACGCGACCAATGATTTTCTGTGCCCATAGAACAAACCAAACAGTTACATTTTGAGGATGCAATAGCGCCTCAAAAATTGCTTTTGGGTTTTCAGCATACCTAATGCGATAATTTACGTTAACGTACCCATTTTACCAAAAGTGAACTTGGTCGCTAAACAAAAATTTGTTGTGCACATCGGGATCGGTCGGCACCTCTTTTGGTCCCACTCACCGAACATGCAATAAGCTTTATGATCATTCGGCTTCAATTTTTGTACGAGTTATGAAATTSCGGAAACTTCYAGAAAACCTTGTAAAATAGATGGACGCCAGCTACAATCGTTTCGCGCGATGGTGAATTCAGTTGGGTATTATTCGACAATCTGCTCCGAAGCAGAAATCGGCGGTGCGCCCTCTGCGGTGTCTTTGAGAATGTGCAATATCTACTAAAATAAACGTGATGCAGATTCCTAGTTGCTCGAATTACTGACTCTACTGCTTGAAGTGAATATTGAAAGCAGCGTACTTTGCGTTATGCAAACCAAACCATKATTTTAGTAATAAATTTGGAAGATTTCCAAACCTTGTTTCGGAGTAAGTCTATTCATTATGATACGACAAACCAAGCTAACTATAAATCAACTAACAGCTGTGAAAACAACTAGCCTCAAAACAGTATTGCCTTATTAGAAACCACTAGAACTGAAGCCGTTGGATCTTCACAAGCGACATCGCTTCGCTCTATGATCTGCCATTTCATCCAGAAAAAACAACGGTTTAGTGTGGTTTGTGACCCGTTGGAATCATCGGTTCATATTTCTTCCAAAATGATGAACAAAACCGTCAATGGCAACCGTTATCGCGCTTTCATGCCTGAAATTGAAGCTCGTGATCTCGACGAAGGCAAAGTTTGAAAATGTTTAAGATATATTAAAGATACAGTAGTATTCTCCTGATTTGATATATTTTTGACATTTTGTATACATCTACCGAGAGAAAACACACGCACTTTACAGAGTTGCTAAATAAGATTTTTGTTATCTTTGGTTTTTTGAGAGTCAACCACTTTTATTTACAAGATGTAAAGAATTTTATAATAATAATAACCTCATTCTAGAACTGCATGTTTTTACAAACAGTATAATCATTTGTAAAAAAGTTATTTTTTATAAGTTATTTATTATATAATATAATATATAACAAAACAATATTTATAAAATTATTGRATAAAAAAAGTCTTATTATTTTGTAGAACGGCCCTCCTCCTACTAACGTGACTATTAGTTTAAGCATGCTTTCATGCATGCTTTGAAGATAACTTATATTAATTCTACACAGCTTCAATAATTTTTTTCATTTCTTTTAGAGTTTTTGGACGCTTTTCCCACATCCTTTGGCGCATATAATCTCAGTACTTTTCAATTGGATTGAGATCTTGACTGCTTCCTTGCCGTGSGAGACGCAATTGCACAAAACTCCTTTTGGATTATTGAAAAATCCTTTTCAATAGTTTAATGTTTTAGTTACCATCTTGGCAAGGGGTTGAATTATCCTGAAAACAAACTTTTGACATTCACAGATCCTTGAAACTGTCCAACACCAAACTAGGACTTTATAGTTAACTTCAATTAGACATTTAAATAGAACCAATGATTGTTTATAAATTCATAAGTTTCAAAGTACTGATATACGAAAAAATAATTAGCYTAGAACTATTTTGGTAAAGCTAAGGCGAAAAGAAACATTTTTTATAGCGAATTCTAATTTAATGAAAATTATTTTTGCGTTTATCTCTTGTTATCACAAAGCCTGGGTTCTATATTAGCTCCCAAAACTTCTTCTGGATAGAAGTTTATTATAAGTTAAGGGTAAAGTTGCGGAGACATACGGAAAAAATAAATTAAGTTTGCGACGAGATTTGTAGCACCCAGAAAGTAGCAGCGAAAGCCCTATGAAGTATAGATAGGGTGATTAGGGTGATGAACATAGTCGATTTAGCCTCTCTGTTTATGAGATATCGTCTTGAATTTTTGCACACGCTAGTTTGTCGCCAGAAAGCTGCTCAAGACTTTTTCTTGATAACACTTTGTTATTTGAAAAGATACAACAGTACAATTTCGAAAATAAGATTTTAATTCTATCTAATATAATAATATGATTGTCGTAGRAACTTACTTTTCAACAAAAAAGGCAAGTTCTTGTAAGGATCCTTTGTATTTATGAATGGGTTTTACAGCGTCGGTGTAACCGAAGTTGATATTTTTTTTCTCTTTA